CTGCGCGGCCGCACTGTCCCGGCGGCGCAAGCGCAGTTGGCGCACCACGCCCTCGAAGAGCTCGGCCACGTTGTGCTGCAGAGTGGCTGAAGTCTCGATGAATTTGCAGTCGAACACCACGGCGCAGGCGCGGCCCTCTGAAGGGGCGAGGTCAGGAGAGCCGAGGTGGGTGGAGCCAAAAACAGAGGGCGGAGACAAAGGAGGTGTGTTCAGACTCTACTGGCGGCAGTTTTCCCAGTGCCCCACCTGGTGCAGGTGTGGTGTGGGAAGGGGGGGTTGGGGGGGCAGGAGGGTCAGCTAAAACATTGTGGAGCTTTGTGGAGATAATTGAGTCTAGTATAAACTGATAGATAACAAGTATATACGATAGATAACAGGCAGCAGAAGGAGGCTGGGAGGGCAGGGAGACCAGGACCAGGCTGAATTGCCAGGTCAGAGGCCTAAGATTAGTACCAGGAAAGGCTTGTGAAAGTGCAGATTCTGGGCCCACCCTGAGGATTGCGATTCTGTAAGTGTAGGATGGGTCTGTGTTTTTAACAATCTGCACATTATGTTGCAGTGTTTTGGGGATTGTCTGTCTACAAAATATATGGTCTTCCACTTCCAGGAGGACACTGGGCTTGGAGACAGTGGCCAGAATTCCAATCCTCAATGCCAGGTCTGTGGAACTCACATTCCCTTTCTGAGTCTCACTCTTCATGTTTTTAAGATTCTACTCTATAAGTAAGGTGGTGTGTGTGTGTGTGTGTGTGTGTGTGTGTGTGGCCAGTCTTGGGGCTTGAACTCAGGGCCTGGGTGCTGTCCCTGAGTTTTTTTTTTTTTTGAGCCACAGCTTCACTTCTGGCTTTTTGGTGGTTAATTGGTGATAAAGAGTCTCATGAACTTTTCTAAAATCCTCAGATCTCAGCCTCCTAAGCTGGTAGGATTACGGGGTGAGCCACCACACCTGGCAGTGGGATAATTTTTATGATTTTTATGGCCTTACCAGAAATGTAGAGTGTATTAAAATATTCTCCATCCCCCAGTAATTATAATTTATAAATAACATTCAACATTTTGATTTTAGTAGCTGACTAGTGCATATCAAGAATTTTTTTTTCTTTTTTTAAGACAAGGCTTTGTAAAATTTGACTTTATAATCTCTTCACTACTTTGTTTTGGAGCCAGTAAGTTTTTGTTGTTTAGTTGTTGTTGTTTTTTTCAGCTTGTCAATGTAACCCCTTGAAAAACTGAGGGCCAATCACGTGGTATGATGTGTGTATGTGGGATAAGGTGTCCCTGAGTGTGGGCATTGGAGCCCCAGGGGGGATTTTAAGCAGAGAAGTGACAAGTTCATCTCTGGGAGCAGGATTGGGTGAGGCTGGAGAAGTAGAGGAACTGACGCCAACAAAGTGGGGTTGTCAGGATAAGGCAGAGGCCATGGGTATTCAGGGTAGGGTAGAAGGGCTGGCAGAAATTGGGAATTCTTTTTGCTGGGGAGGAGGGGAGGGAGTTGTTGAGAGAGCTTTCCAGCCCAGGCAGGTAGCTTGCAGGATAGGGGTGGGTTGGGGCTGAGGATCAGAGGGCAGGGCCAAGGCTCACCTTCCACAGAAACTTCCCTGCAGCGGGCCAGGTCTGCCTTGTTGCCCACAAGGATGATGGGCACGTGGTCCGCACGATGTGTGCGGCGCAGCTGGATGCGGAGCTCTGAGGCGCTCTCGAAGCTGCCTCGGTCTGCGATGGAGTACACGATGACGTAGGCGCTGCCCACCTGCAGGCATGACTCCTGGCTCCAGCTCCCACCCTGTGGGGGAAGGGTGGGCCATCCTCAGGTGCTGCCTAGGCCCTGCCTGAGAGAGAGCTGCGGTTGGTGTAAAGAGTGGGGCTAGGGCCTGGCACCAGGGGCTCACACCTATAATCCTAGCTACTCAGGAGGCTGAGATCTGAGGATCGTGGTTCACAGCCAGCCCAGGCAAGAAAGTCTGTGAGACTCTTATCTCCAATAAACTACTCAGAAAAAGCTGGAAGTGGCGCTGTGGCTCCAGTGGAAGAGCACTAGCCTTGCTCAGGGACAGTGCCCAGGCCCAGAGTTCAAGCCCCTGGAGTGGGGCTGGGGTTCAGGTACTACTCTAGACCATTTAGGGGGACAGATTCTGGTATAATCCTGCATGTCACCTGGGGAAAGCTACCCATCCCCTCTGAGCCTCAGTTTCTCTGCTTGAAAAATCAGGTAGACAGGACTTGCTTTGACTCTTCCATTCATTGATGACTTTTGTGGCCTGGCACAGGACTTCCTTCCTGCTGAGGGGGCTTTTTGGCTTTGTCTCTTCACCTCTTTGTCTGGTCTCTGAGGAGAGTGTGGCCTTACCAGATGTCCTTTTTAGACATCTGTGGTCCAGAATTTTTTTGGGTCCGGTCGTGGGGCCTGAACTCTGGGCCTGGGCGCTGTCCCTCAGCTCTTCAGCTCAAGGCTAGCGCTCTACCACTTGAGCCACAGC